GCATAAGCTTATGTCAGAATGGATGTCCACGAATGATTACAAACAAGATAAACCTAACAATTAATCATTTAACAAGTCAACTGTTAACCCAGCATAGCTGGGATATGCAATTAGGGAGAGAGTAAAGTAAAAGGACCTCAGCAAACGCAAACCCTGTGAGGTTGTACACTATAATTGACTATATTCCCTGTGCTGTCCTTTTCATCCCTGTGACTTATTTATTTTATAATTGAAAGTCTGTCTCTCTTTATCTCCTCAACTATCTCTCCGTCCCGCCTCCCAGCTCCACTGTGGCAACCATCATTCTGTTCTCCGTGTTTATGATTTTGTTGATGTATTTTTTTGTTTTTTGATTCCACATATAAGTGAAATCACATGGATTTTGACAAATGACAGTTACTATTAATCAAAGAAACAGTGCACAGAAATACCACAGGAAAAGGACCAAACTGAATCCCACCATTCCAACATCCAGTAATACACGTAAGTGACAAAGAGTTAGGAGCCGGCTGTCCGGAGACCAGGGCGTTACCCAACTTCATGGAAGTTATGTGCGTTGTGTGCACTACTAGCCCACCATCTAGAGCAGCGTCCAGCACACGAGGATACAGCCATGCGACTGCCTGACTCTTGGTGACCTCTGGAAAAGAGACTGTCTTTGCCCAAAGGGGGATGGTCAGGATTCCTCAGCTTGTCCATACTTCTGAAGACTATTTTACATTTAAGAATAGAGAGAAAAAAGCTTGGGCTGTTTGCAGTTTCACGGGCATTTGTCTTGTTGTCTCAACTTAGATTGTCAGTCCTTGAGACAGAGACCAAAATCTCCCTCCAGAAGTCAGCAAACCTTCTATGGAGCCTCACAGTAAATGTTCTAAGCCTTAGAGGCCCAGAGGCAACATCGATGATATTAAGTTTATCCTATGTAACAACTGTCACTGCATAATACACACAATGCTTTGCCATTGAGTCGGACAACTCATTTTAATCAATGAACAGAAACATGTTATTTTTTTTTCACTATTCCAGTTACTAGGGCTGCATAACAAATTATCACAAAATTTACTGGCATGGAATAGCCTTTTATTATGCTCACAGAGTTTGTACAGGACCCAGCAGAGTGGCTCACACCATCTGGGCCTGGCCCCACCTGGAGGCCGGTCATTCCTCTCTGGTGAGAGGTGCTGGCACAGGCCTTGGCTGCTCTGAGGCCACCTGTCTGGCCCAGCTGGACGTCAACTTCCCCATCCTGCAGGAGGGAAGGCTGAGGCCCAGCAGGCGCAGGAGGATGACGGGGTGAGGGGAGCGCTGCGTGTGACCCACACAGGATCACCGTGTTCTGCCCTCAATGGTTGGCCATTGAAAGAATAAAGAAGAAAAAGAATTCCAACCTCTTCTGCCTGTATACTTTTATCTCTTTAAAGGTCTCATTTTGTTTGAATGACTAAAACTATTTTAGTGACAATGAGCTCAAAGGGTTTTCTCTCATTGGTTTGTATTGGTTTTGAGACCCCAAGAACAAGTCTACAAGTTGGCTGGAGTCTCCAGCTTGTCATCAGCGGCTCCGCGATGCAGCTCAGGTTTGAGCCTTGAAAATATGGACCCTCCCTGGCTCGGGGTTAACTGGAGCCCTCTTTTCAGGTCAGAGCCAAAAGCTGGGGTGCTGGGGGCACACAGCTCACCATGGTTGTGGGGGGGATTCAGAATTTAACGAAAGCCTTGGAAAGGGGACTGCAGCAAAGTGCCAATCTCACAAATTCTCAGCATGTGCCTCCAGCTTCCCTCCCAAGGGTGGCAGGGGTTCTGTCCTTTCCCCTTCAACTTGGGCGCGGGCTGGTGAGTGTTCCAACTAACAGGCAGGAAGGATGCCGGGTGATGGATAGGACCATTGCCTGGCTGGCTGTTTGGGGACGTTGCTCTTTGAGAAGCTCCGATTAGCCCCAACAGAGAGATTCCCCTCACATGAAATATCTAAAATTTGTAAGTTCATAGAGACAAAAAGTAGATTAGAGGTTACCTGGGGCTGAGTAGGCAAGCAATAGGGAGTTATTGTTCAATGGGTACAGAGTTTCTTTTGGCAATGGAAATATTTTGAATTGGTGGTGATGGCAGAACAACATTGTGAATGTAATTAATACCACTGAATTGTACACTTAAATGTGGTAAAAGGGCACATTTCACTATGAACTGAATTGTGTCGCCCCAGATTCAATGTTGAAGGTTAAATTCCTATGTAACTCCCCATGGGATGATATTTCGGTGATGGGGTTTGTGGGAAGTTTAGATCAGGTAATGAGGGTGGGGTCTCAAGATGGGATTCGAGCCTTTATCAGAAGACCAGAGAGCTTGCTCCTGGCCCCTCTTTCTGCTGGGTGTAGACACAGTGAGAAGGCAGCAGTGTGCAAACCACGAAGACAGACATTATCACGTGTGCCAATTCCACCAGCACCTCGGTCTTGGACTTTCCAGCCTCCAGAACTGTAAGAAATAAATGTGTGTTGTTTAAGCCATTCAGTGTGGTATTTTGAGCCAAGACATTTTGTGTGTCTATATTTTATCACAAAATAAAGACAGTTGTATTCCTAAACACAAGCAGCAGAGAGAATAATTAAATAATAAAAAGAATACCATTTACAATGAAATACAAATATATAAAACACCTAGGATTAATCTAAAAAAAAAAGACACAGCAGCAGGTGGCAACTCCCCCTGCGCTTGAGGTCTTCTGTTCCCGCTCGCGCCCTGCAGGCTTCTTCTGTAACATCTGTCCGATTCAAGTCTTCCAAAGATGGACTTCAATTCTAAGCCTCAGTTGCCTTACTTTTTGAGTGGAGATAATAATAGATGTGGATAAGAAAACTAATAGTCAGTATTTCAGGGCAGTGCCAATGGGAGTGATTTTTACGTTCTCTTTCATGTTTTTCTGCACTTCCCAAACTAACACTGGAACGTGTTACATTTTTCTTAATCAGAGAAGAACACTGGTTGATAAATATGTGCTGAGGACGTGCTCTTTTCTCTTACTGCCCACTTGATCCCCAACTAGCGCAGCAGGACTTCCTGGAAGGGCGGGCCTCCTCCTCCCCTCCTGGGACTGTCTCTGCTCCAGCTCCTCTCACATCGCAGGCCCTGGCCCGCACCTTCTTCTGCCCTTCCGTCCCTAGAGACCTCTGTGGTCCTTGCTGTCATTCCAGCAAGAGTTCCCCCCCTCCAACAGTGAGCACCCCCAGCGCTGCCATCCCCCGGAGCCACACAGAACAGGGGCAGAGCCACAGTCCTGGCTGCACACTGCCATTGCCTGGGCAGGTTAAAACCCTGGCGCTGGGCTCGGCTTGCGTGTGGTTTCAGCACGGTTTTGGAGCTTCCCAGCAAGCAGCACAAGCCAGTTTTAAAGTCACTCTTGGAGAATTCCTTCACACCTAATTTGCTGCAGAGCATTTTCTTCTGTCTTGTTTGATGTCCTGAGGAAACAGGGCGGGGTGCGGGGGGTGCTGCACTCCAATCCTGGGATGGCGGGGTGTGGGGGTCGTCCAGATTCCCACACTTTGCAGCTCAAAAGGAGTCAGGAGTTCCACTGGAGGTCTGATGCGCAAGTTGGCTCCAGTCTTATCTGTTTACAATTGATAAGAAGAAAGCGGACCTTCCCGGGAGCAGGGGGTCTGCCTGCCCACCCCCCCACCCCCGCCTCCAGCGGCTCCCAGGCAACCCCTTCCAGCTGGGCCTTGTTAGCCAAGCAAACCTGGGCTCCTCTGTGGTGAAATGCAAAACTCCTTTTATAAGACCATTAAGTAAAGGAGAGCAAGTGACAGGATGCTGAAAAATAGGTATCAGCTACTTTATCACCCCAAGGCCCTCAGCCCTTTACCCCCCTACAGCTGACTTTAGAGCTTGAGCAAACAGCCAGAGATGGGACATTCTTTTGCTATTTCTAGCCTCTCAATCTGGTCTTGCTGGCAACACATTTCTCCTCTTTCTGTTTCCATTTATAAAATGTGTATTTTCAAAACCTTATTTGACACAGGAAATATGAAGTCTGAGACTTGCTTTAAAAAACTCCTCAAGAAAAAAGTATGGGGGAAATGAGATAAGACTAGCAAAGTTTGATACCTAATTGTTGAACTTGACTTGACTGGATCACTATCCTAGTGTTTTGTGTATGTTTGAAAATGGCCACAGTACAAAAATGAGGTGAAAAAAACTGTGGGTGAAATTAGGTTTTGATACTACTTTTAAAACGTTGATGTTATCAGAAAGGTTTGGATTCGATATCATCCTGTAAATTGGATGGTTTTAAAACTTCTTACTCAAAGAAATACCATCCTTGGCTTTGTGTACAACCCATTTCATTTACATAGAAGTTTCTATTGACTTAAAATCACAAAATGTACTTTTATATATAAGTAAATTATGCAGTTAATAAGCAATAACCATTAAGTTTCAAAGTGTATTTGTCATGACTCCCATTACAGATGTTTCATGAAGGCGAGAAGCGTCATTCTCTACATATTCTTCTGGTCGGGACCTGGTCCTGGCAGCCCACAGAGCCAGTCTTTGGGGAGCCTCACAGCCGCCACACTCATCAGCTCCCTGTTCCTTTATTTAACAGCCTCTTTAATAAACCTCACATTTAAAGGTTTAAAAAATTAGATCAGTATCAAAGACTAATTCATCTTTGGAAGAAGTATGCTACTTTTAGAAAGCAGGTTTTAAATTAAAATCACAGACTAATTTGCACCAGAGCTGCAAGGTGTAGTCCTCCTTAGTGCTGATAAAAGGGCCCCAGTCCCCATTTTGGCAAATAGAAAAATTGAGACTTGAAAGGCCCCAAGTCATTCCTTTCGTGGATGCAGAGCGGGCTCAGGCAACGGTGGGCGGCAGTTACCCTGTGCTCCATGGTCTTCAGATACGAGCGCCCTGTGGACTTCATCGCATAGTGTCTGTGCGTCTCAGTGTTTGTCAGAGATCCAGCTGCCACAAGGGATTTCAATTCTAAGCCTCAGCTGCCTCATCTTTACATGGTGGAGAAGGGTGCTGCATTAAGTGGGTAATATATATGACACATTCACCACCATGCTGGACCCAGAGAAAAAGTTCAGCCCTTGGAAACACCAATACATCCTCAGAAAGCGGGTGTTGAAATGTTTCCTTTTATATTCATGATCCCCTCTGGTTCCGGCCCGCACAGAGGCTCCCTTCTCTAGCTCACCATCTCCCAGTACAAGGAATACAAAATATAAAACCTCCATGTTCCTAGGAAAACTTTTTGTTCCTGTTGGGGTTTTAATTTTTTGGTGTTTGTTTTGTTTTCTTCAGTGAGGGGAAGGCTTGTTGCCGTGGTCACCAACGTGTCACGTCAGGGGTTGACCACTCTGCTGCTGTCAGCACTGTAAACACCATCGGGGAGAGAGTCAGCGCAGGTCTCCACCCTCTCCTCCACCCCCTCCAGCTGGTCTCATTGAGGGACAGGCCCTGAAGCTCTGCATGGGGCCTGCCTGTCACGGTAGGCCATCCCCTAACCAGCTTCCACAGCAGAACTCAGAGGTCCCCTTGAGGTCTGGTGGCTAGGCCGAGGGTAGGAAACATCGACACCTTCCCTGGTAACCCACCCAATGTCCTGACGCAGGTGTTCCAGGACCTGGACTGAGGATACCTTCAAATACAAAAGCTGTTCAGACTCAACTTCTTGAAAGCTGATCTTCAGTGTTCTGATGAAAGGAGATTCTCACACCAGACGTGTCAGTGGGAGAATGACCTGGAGACATCCTGTTAGGTAAGGACAGTGATCATCGAGATCTCAGAGCCAGGAGGGGTGTTTAAAAGCCTCCAGAATAAATTGCAGTGCATGCAGGATTGTTCCTCTTTTTTGGCCCCATAATCTTTCTAAGGGACTACAACATGTATCAAAATCTACCAGTTACAAAATGATCATCTAATATTTTTTATACAGTAAACACTGTACATACTTATGTATTAATAGACTAGTGCATTACCTTTTATACATATACAAATTCTTGCTTATACTTTTTTGCATTTTAAATGTCATTTATTTTCTTTAAATATTCTAGGCTTCTGCTTATGATCAGTTTGGCATTACAGATCATTCATTCTGGAAACAGTAAGAAACATTTTATTTGTAGTCTTAGTTTTTATTGCCTATTTGTTTCTTAATCATTATCAGACTCATGTTTTCAATGGTTTTAAAAGGCTATCAAATAGAGAAACATAAAGGTAATACAGAAGAAATTAACAATGCGACCACCCCGAAACTCCAGCTGAAAACGCTCAACTGGACCTTGAATAATTTCAAGGAGGTGAATGCCAGTGCAGAGGGCTGGAGGCCGGATTCACCACTCTACTCCTGGTCTCTGGAAGAGCGTAAGTCCCAAAGCCACCACAGGGCCTTAGCGGGCATCCCAGTCAGTGGACAGGAGTTTAAGAACTGAAAAAAAAACTAGGATTGATTAAAGATAAAACGGGAAACCCAATAAGAGAGTATTTCATCATCCTCAAATGACATACTATAAAGTGAAAATGTCTCCTAGTGAGGTGTTCTTTTACTCTGGAAAAAGTTTTACTATTTCATTGGTGGAACGTTGCGTTTGCTCTCACAAGGGTATTTTTCTGCAGGTCCAGAGAACTGTGATTTAAATGTATTTAAAACAAATAACCCCACTCAAGGTAATAGCGGACCGTTGCTTGACTTCAGACTTTCAGGCTCCAGATCCCAGGTCCCCAGAGGTCCCCCTGGCGGGGCGGGAAGGGGGTTTGGCGTCACCGCACCCGTGGGTGGTCCCTGACCCGGAGGCCTGTCTTGAATCACTGCCTGGGAAGTCACAGCCTGACTTTAACATGTGAAAGGAAGAAAGTAAGAACCCCCCTAGCAGGGGCTGGGTTTCCCGTCGCGGCCCGGGGCTCGTTTCTGACCGCTCGCACCTCTGCAAGTTTGTTTTTCATCCTACAATTAACAAGCAGGGTTGACTTGGGCAAACACACCTAGCAGGGGGCTGATTTTATTGCCTCCTCGGGGGTGTCCGTCCGGCCTGCGCCGCGGGGGTCTGACGCACGGCCTCGGGGCGGCGCTGACGCCTGGGCTACCCCCACAGGTGCGCCCCCGCGGCCGCGCTGCTGCAGGAACGGCGGCACCTGCGTGCTGGGCAGCTTCTGCGTGTGCCCCGCCCACTTCACCGGCCGCCACTGCGAGCACGACCAGAGGCAGAGGTGGGCGCGGGGCGCCGCGAGCGCGGGGCAGTGAGCGGGGGGCGCGGAGGTGGGCGTCGGGCCAGCGGGCGGGCGCGGGGCAGTGAGCAGGGGGCGCGCGGAGGTGGGCGTCGGGCCGGCGGTCGGGGAGCGGGGCCGTGAGCGGGGGGCGCGGAGGTGGGCGTCGGGCCGGCGGGCGGGCGCGGGGCAGTGAGCAGGGGGCGCGCGGAGGTGGGCGTCGGGCCGGCGGGCGGGGAGGGGGCCGTGAGCGGCGGGGCCGGCCGGGTGCAGGGCGCGCGCCGCCTGACGCGGGTCTCGGCCTCCCCAGCGAGTGCGGCGCCCTAACGCACGGAGCCTGGACCTTCCGCGGCTGCCGCCTGTGCAGGTGCTTGTTCGCAGCCCTGCACTGCCTCCCGCGCCAGACACCCGGCCGCTGCGGTAAGACGCCCCGCGCCCCGGGCCCACAGTCCGCACACGCAGGCAGTCGCTCCTGTGTACACGCCGACCCACAGAGCTATGCCTGTGCCAGGCGACACGGAAATGAGCCCGGGCTGATTCATAGCTAAGGAGCGTCACATTCGTTGTGAATCACCTAGTGTATTATCATGAGTATTTAAAAATTCATCCCGGCTGTTGGGTTTACACATGATTTCCAAAGTGTCCTTTACAGTGAGCAGGACTTTGGGGGCACACCAGCTGGTGAGCAGAGGGAACCTCGCGGGCAGGCCCCGACCCATCTCAGCGGTGCAATGGGGAGGGCCCTGCAGCAGCCCGGACGGCTGGGTGGCCAGCGCCGCCCCTCAGGGCTCCCCGCCAAGGAAAGGGCCAGGCCGGCCACACGTATTAAAGCAGCGGGGTGCAGAGAGTGCACCACTCATTTGTGGAGATTCTGAGCGGTCACCAACTCAACATCAGTGTTTCCACTATGAAACTCAGTGAGGAACATGAATTTGCTGGGCCAGAAAACAGATGTGACGCTCTGCTGCTGGGCCATCCCCTTGGGCAGGGTCCAGGGACGCACTGAAGAAGGTGCAGCATTTCAGCTCATGTCCTGTGCCCTGCCGCTTCTTCAGCAGCTCTGTCTGGGCCTCCAGTGAGGGGCACAGGCAAGGAAGGTAGGCCGTTCGGCCCCTTTGTCAGCCCTGGTGGGCTTGGCCCTGCAGTGGGAAGTTAGCCGCCAAGCCCACATTCCTGGTCCTCCTCCATGTCACTCAGCCTCAGACAGATCCTCCGCCCCAGGGCAGTCCTTATGGAGGCAGAGCCCTTCAGCCCACTTCCCAGCCCTGTCCCTGTCAGAGGGCAGTGGAAGGGCAGCACCGCAGGAGCTGAGACCTTCACGTCACCTTCCTCCCCCTCCTGCCCTCTTCTGCAACCTGGGCTAGGATGAGCAGTCAGGGGACTCTCTCGGTGCAGGGGCAGCCACTCAATCCTTTCTGTCCTTCCGTCTCAGCCAGCTCTGCGTGGTTGTGATTAAACTATAAAGCAGGGTGGTTGTGATTAAACTATAGCAGAATGTTGAACTTTTCCCTCCCTCCTTCCCTCGTGCCCATCACATTTCCCGAAGCCCTCTTTCTCCTGCCGGACTCTCCACTCGCTGAGCCTATGCCCTGGGTGCCCCAGAGAAAGGAGGAGCAAATTCGGGGACAGGTATCAGAGCTGCAGCTGGGGCCTGTGCGGCCCTACTCCAAAGGAGGTCATCTCCCACCTGCCACTGGGCTCACTGGGCTCCCGCTTTAGCTGAGATCATTTCCGGTCTCCTGTTCGAGGCCAGTTGCAGTTCTGAACGGCAGCGCAGGAACTAGGTTTCAGGATATCTGCTCACTGTTTTACATCCTTGGAAACACCCAAGGCTGGGACTGCTGTCTGCCAGGGACCATGACAGCGGCTCCAAAAATGTGGCTGCTGCTCATCAAAGTTGGACAAAAGAGAGCAGTCATCTTTCAGAGTAATTTTGTCAGGTTTAGAAAGGGCAGTAACACCTTGCACTCTGTCTTCTCCATCCTGCTTTTGGGCAGGTGGTGGTGGTGGCTGTGCTGACGGTGGTTATGAGGAGGTGAGGATGCTGATCATGAGAACTGTCTTTGTCAGCGCTCCATATATTTCAGGCACTCTGTACACTTAATACGCTCAATGCTCACAATGGACGTTATTTATATTTGAGGAAACTGAGGCCTAGTTAACTCCCACAGCTAATAAACTGGCTCTGATTCTTTTTTTTTGAAGATAGAATCATGAGAGGCTGGTTAATGTAGAAACAGTATGTTTTGTAATAACATTTAATTATTTAAAGTATTGTAAATATCATAGCATATTAGTATAAACATTGACATAATATATAATTAATGTCAATCTACAGATAAAATTGCTACCATTTACAGATAAGCATACTCCTAAACTGTCACATTTTTTTTGAGCAATATTGACATATAACATTGTATTAGTCTCAGGTGTACAACATGATTTGGTATTTGTCTAATGAAATGATAACAGTAAGTCTGGTTAATGTCTATCAGCACATATAGTTACAGATTTTTTTTCTTATGATGAGAGCTTTTAAGATTTCTTAGCAACTTTCAGATATACAATATGGCATAATACTATGTTGTGTATATTTTATACTATATATAAATAATATATTGCATATATATAAATGATACTATATAATATAAATAATACTGTATTATATGTATACAATATAGTATTAACTATAGCCCCCAGTGCTGTACATTACAATCCCTATGAGTTATTTATAACTGGAAATTTGTACCTTTTGACACCCTTCACCCATTTCACTCACCCCCCCACCCACTGTATCTATGAATTAAGATTCTGCATGTAAGTGAGATCATATGACATTTGTCTTTCTCTGTCTCATTTAACATAGCCTAAGGCCCTCAAGGTCCATTTAGGTTGTTGCAAATGAAAAGATTTCCTTCTTTTTTATGACTGAATAATATTCCTCTGTGTGTGTGTATGGGTGTGACATTTTCTTATTGATTCACCCATAGGTGGATATTTACATTGCTTTCATGTCTTGGCTATTGTAAATAATGCTGCAGTGAACATGAGGGTGCATATATCTTTTCAAGTTAGCATTTTTTTTTCCTTTGGATAAATACCCAGAAGTGGAATTGCTGGATCACATGGTAGTTCTATTTTTAATTTTTTAAGGAAACTCCATCCTGGTTTTCATAGTGGCTGCACCAGTATACGTTTCCACTAACAGGGCACCACGGTTCAGGGTCTGATTCTTAACCAGTGTGCCATTCCTGTACTCTTCTTATAAGAATAATTATTAATACAAAGTAAAAGATATTTTTGATAGTGTTACTTAGAATGTTGAAAATTTGGCTATGTTCTAAATCCAACAGCGGAGTAATGGGTAAATAAATGTTTTAAATCCTTTAATGGGATATTATGATGATTTTGCTGATTATATGAAAGTATGGAAAACCATTTCACAGTGTAACTGTAATGGCAGGAAAAGACACATGTGGGTGGGGAATTACAAACCGGTAACAATTGCTACAAAGTCATGGCCCTGTGGCTCCTCAAGGGCTGTGGACTGTCTCCAGGGCCCTCCTTGCTCTGAGGTTCTGTGGGTCCAAGAATGACGAGCTCTCTCAATCCCAAATAGAATGCCTACCCAAGGGCATATTTTTTCATTCTGATTGAGAAGAACACTATTTATTCTCCAATCTCCTCATATAAAATGAGGATAACCTGCTGCTCTCCACCCATACATAGTTGTTGAAAGATAAAATTTAAGCAGAGGAATCTTGTTTGTTGATGTGAGCTAGTTTGCAACTTTTCTGTTTCATGACCTAAAATAATACTTTGCTCATAATAATTCTATGTAATTATTAAATGGATGACCTTTGACCCCTTAGTTACAAAAAACATCGTATAAGCCATTACCTGGTATTGTTATATTACAATTAAAAGAACTCATTTTTAGTGTTGTAAAAACAATATACTTTAGACAGGTAACTATTATTCTACCATTTTCTTCATTTAAAGTTTAATTATGCCTTTGAAGAGGCAATGTAGTGCAATAGAAAAGCATGGGAAATCTCTCCAATACTTGTTATAACATGTCTGATTTTTATAAAAGGTAAAATATCTTGTTTGTGCTTCATTCTTAGCTGTAAAACTGGAGCTGAATATTTACCCCATTGTTTGTTAAGATGAAAAGGCAGTGTACCTGTTACATATTATGCACAAATAAAACTAGTATTTACCATCATCACCATCAACAGTATTCAGGTCAATACAATGAGATTAGAATTATTTTATAATCTAGCACTTAAAAACAAATTGATTGATGTGTGCATTTGATTGAAATTAATGGGCATTAAATTAATTAGGGTAAAAAAAAAAAGGAATGGTAAGCTTGAAGCAGTCCTTGAGCCACCCCAAGACCTCATTACACTGAAGGGTGTTTCTTCGTCACATAGCCCCAAGAACCAGTTTAATGTTCTAAATTTAGAATTTAATGACACAACAAAGTAGCAAACTTAAGTGCCTCCAGAGATAAACAGGTAATGTAAATAAATGTCAGATTGGGGTCAGGTTAAGCCTCACCTCATGCTTCAAACTAAATTTAAAAAAAATACATTTCTGGTACCAAGCAACCAACAAGCCAACAGGCTAGAGCCAGTCCGTGGGCCTGTGGGGAGGACGGCCTCCCAGGTCCTGGCCCCAGCTGCCCAAGCCGTGGGCACACTGACCAGAGGAGCAAGGTCTTTGTCAGGCCCTCCCTGGACATTCTTCAGTAATAGGCGCCTTCTCTGGGCATCCCAGCAGGAGAGGAAGCCACCTGGCAGATTGGGGAGTGTTGAGAACGCTGGTCTGGACCTCACACTGAAACCTGACGGTATCCTCATCCAGGGTGGTCTCCAAATCTCCCATTCCGTCAGTAGAAACATCCGAGCATGTTCCCCATTCAGTGGTGGTGACACAGCTCCCATGCTGAGCATGGACAGGCTTCGCTTCCGTCTTCCTTTCCATGTATGCAGGAGACTAACACACAGGACAAAAACCCAGTGGTTTTTAGACTATGTGAAGTCTTAAAAAGGGCATTTGATGGGCGTATAATTAAAGTCCCAGGTTACAGAAGGTCAGCCATCCACAGCAGAGTTGCCTTTCTGGCATGACGTAAAATCATGGTGGGCCACAGAGCCACTGATTTTGTAGATTCTAATAAACACAATAAAAATGACTAAAGCTAACTTTTAAATATCCCTATAAATATGTAATGGAAGCTCTAATATTTTCTTTCTAAGCTCAGTGGCCTTGAGCCCCTGTGGCAGAACACCATGTGGGGAAGCCCCAGTTTAGGGGACTTTGCTTGAGGAGCTGATTCGGTCTAATGGAATTCACAAAGCTGCCTAAAACAACAGCCTTTGAGTTTGCATACAGGAAATGACTGCCAGCGG